AGGCTCTCCTTAAGACGGAGGAGCGCGGTGCTGGGGCGAGAGCCACATTTTGAAATCGGCCCACCCTCCATCCGTGAAACCCCTCGCCAACTTTTTGGACGCATGTGCGCGGCGCTACGACGAGAGCGACACATTGAAAGCCGTGAAGTTTTTGTGGATCCTATGCTTCAGGACCACGCATCGTGAGGAACTCTCCGGCGAAACGGCGAAACGCCCGCTCCGCCCCACCGACACGTCTCGGGGTGCGACAGGGAGGAGATTGTGAAGGCCTGACGGCGGGCGTCGCCGACCCTGCAAAACATCGACGACGACCAGGAGGGGGAGGAGGAGGAGGAGGAGGAGGAGGCGAAGATAAGGAGGAGGAGGAGGCGAAGATAAGGAGGGGGATGAGGAGGAGAAGGAGGAGGAGGAGGCGAAGATAAGGAGGAGGAGGAGGCGGAGGAGGAGGGAGATTTTCATCAGGCGCAGGGATGGGGGCTCGGGCCCGGGCGGAGGAGGGGGGTCCGGCGGGGCGAAGGCGACTGCCCGGGGGGTCCGGGGCCAGGCGAGGGGGCCCGCGCGAGGCGGCGGGCAAGGTGGGAGGAGGTGAAGGCGAATGACAATGGGGGTGATGATGATGGTGATGCTGGTGATGGTGATGGTGATGGTGATGATGATGATGATGATGATGATGATGATGATGATGATGATGATGATGATGATGATGATAATGATGATGATGATGATGATGTGGATGATGATGCTGATGATGATGATGATGATGATGATGATGATGATGATGATGATGATGATGATGATGATGTGGATGATGATGATGATGATGATGATGATGATGATGATGATGATGATGATGATGATGATGATGATGATGATGATGATGATGATGATGATGATGATGATGATGATGATGATGATGATGATGATGATGATGATGATGATGATGATGATATGGTGGTGGTGGTGGTGGTGATGATGATGATGATGGTGGTGGTGGTGGTGGTGGTGGTGATGATGATGATGATGATGATGATGGTTGTGGTGGTGGTGATGATGTTGATGTTGATGCTGCTAGGGACGACGATGATAGTGATACTGTGATGTCGATGGTATGATGCCGTTGGTAATGACGATACTGATGATTTGGATGAGGATGACGACGATGATGTTGACGATTGGTATCACGATGGTGATGGTGATGTTGATGATGGTGGTGCTGATGAAGACGCAGGTGTTGATTTTGATGGTCATGATAGGTGTGAATGATAACAGCGATGATGACGTCGTTGATGAGCTTCAGGAGGAATGATGAGGAAGAGGGTGAGGATGATGTGTCCACATGCTTAGCTACTCATATTCTTGGCTGCTGGACAGGCCCCCCTTGCCATGGCAGTTCGTGGCTCGAGGGGGCCGTCGCGACGGCGTCCCTCGGGGGGGTTGCTGCTGCGGAGAGGGGGGGACATGATGGTGAGGAGTCGTTGGGAGGGGAGAGGGTAAGGAGGGTGAGGAGGGTGAGGGCCGTTGAGAATCGCCAAGATCGGGCGGGCCTAGGACCGGGATGAATTGCTCTGGGGCGTTCCGCAGCGCTCTGGAACGGCCGCGGTGCTCGATGCGTCCTCGAGAACCGCCGGATCTCGGAGATCCCCGATCTATCCTTGCCCGATGTCTCAGAGCGGGGGGAGGAGCCGCAGCAGCAGGAGCAGCGCCCGGATCGTCCTCTCTGCGGCCGCCGACACCGACCGCGGTCAGGACGCCGCACGCCCACCGCGGGGCCGAGACCGGGATCGAGGCGCGGCAGTGTGGCCAGCGCCACGGCGTCCGCGCAGTGTCGCGCAGTGCGCACGTCCGCCAGCAGCGTCTCGGCAGGAGCAGCAGGAGGGGACGACGTGGCTCAGGAGGGACAGTTAGGCGCGCACGCTCGAAAGCGCTCCTCCCCAGGACAATCTCGGGAAGTCCCCGATCTGCGGAGCAGGAATCCCCGAATTCGTGACGATCTCTCTTCGTGTCCCCCCGGGCCCCTTTCGCGGCCGAGCCCCTTTTGGGCCCAGGGTGCGCCTTGTGCGGGGCCGCGCGCGCGCGCTCGCGCGCCTCGGGGGGCCCGCCGGGGCGCGCCGCCCGATGGCGCTGCGGCTTCCGACGGCCGCGCTGCGCGACGACGGGGCCGCGGCCGAGCTGCATGGGGCCCGCCTGAGCGTGGGCGACTACGTCTGGTCCCGGCGGGGGGGCAGCTGCGCTCCCTCCGGCAGCTTCGAGATGGGGGTCCATGCACACAGGGGGGTCGGCCAGAGCGCCCTGATCCTGCAGGGTCCCGCAGGGCCAGGGTCGCTCGCACTGGCCCGGGCTTGGGCGCAGGATCCTGCAGGATCCTGCAGGATCTTGCAGGATCCTTCGCATTGACCTGGGCTTGGGCGCAGGATCTTGCAGGATTCTGCAAGGCCTGACTGGCCAGGGCCTGGATTGACCCGGCGTCAGAAGACCCCCGATCCCATGGGCGCTCAGACCT